ATTTGATGGGTAGGTCAAAGGTCAAATATTTTATACCTATTAAAAGGTCACAATAAATACACATATAATTTAATGTATGAAAGCCCTAGCACCGACTATTCATAAAAGACGTCCAAGGTTAAAGTTCGGAATATTTTTGTAAAATGGGATCAGACTCCAAGGTCACGAGCTCGAATTTAGTGGTACCTGTAGGGAGGTTCTTGTCACATGAAATACAGACCTGTGAAATATGAAAGCTATACACCCAAAAGTTATGGCGAAGGTTACGGTGTCTGCGGGCAAACAGACAGGGGGACGGGACAAAAGTTATATAACCACGAATCTTCGGTTACGTGAGCATAAAAATACTATCCATTGATCGTTCATGTCTTTGTTTGTTTTAGAGAAGACTTTTTGATCTTTTTGGTGACACTGAGTAGTCTTCCAGAATTTTTGTCGTCGGGTATTCGTGTTCAGATATAATCTTCTATCAACAATCTGTTGACTGCCATTTCATTTTTTTCAGTTTCGGACAAACCCTATACACCTCAACATTTTCTTTCTATATTTCATACTAGTATACTCGGCAAATATTCCTAACAGACACCTTATTTTAAGTCGTCCAGGACGTGTTTTACCATGCCTGGATATTTCTAGATCTTTCAATTTACTTACATTATATATGCTTCTACGTTACCAATTCAGGTTTTCTATTGGAAGCTTAAAAAATCATCCCCGTATAGGAACATGTATATTAATTAGGAGAACACGGGTCTTTCTTGTCAGTCAAATATGCTGAGTTGAATAACAACTACTGTGCAAACATATTTTCTGTGTCGTGCTAACCCGTGTCACGGAACATTCAGGCAAAGCAATAATTGTTATAACGCTATATTCACGAAATAAAGATTTGTTTATTCACTGGTATATCAACCAATTGAAAGATAAATATTCAAATATCAATATAATAAAATATAATCCAAGCAGTTCTTACAAAATTTATAACAAATAAATACACTTTATTTTCAAAGATATTATCAAATAAATACACATGTATTAAAACAATACTAAAAGTAAAACGGTTGATCAAATCGTTGAAAAATATGACTTGACTACATTCATTGTTATCAGCGGTCGTTTAAAGGGATTGGACTGTGAAGAAAAAAACTATTTTGATGAACCAAAATACTGTGACAGTTGAACTAAGATTTAAAATATATATAATTTATAAAATAAATTTCGACTGGTTTGCTCACTGTCAATATAAAGTAAACGTACGCATAATGTAAGAAATAATAAAGAATAAGAAAGTGTAATATCAATATAACTCAATGATAGGTAAAGATAAATCCTTAATATAACAATTGAAATCTCTTACACAAGGAAAGAACTTCCTAATAGGAAATTGACTTTAAGCAGACGCAAATACTTGACTTTACTTGTTATTTTGGCATATCATTAATATGGCTAATGCTTTTATCTGTTTGTTCATATCAATATAAAATGCAAAAATAGTGCCACTATTAATAGCAATGGGTAGCAAATTAAAGTAAATAACTTTATTTTCCTCTGTTATTAATGCCAGGCCGAAGCCAAGTCAACTGAGCTAGTTTTTATGGATTAAAAATAAAATAACGACGGTAGTGAAAGTGAAAAAAAAAGTCATTTATTGAAGTAAATGACGTAAAACAAAAATATATACATATTATAAGGGGGTCAGACAAGACTAGAAAAAACTTCGAAGAATACAAAAATCTTTGATATCATATTATGCAATCTGACCCCCTAAAACAGAATATAGCAAAAAGCAGGCACTGATATGCTTGTTATCAAAAAACGGTGGGATGAAAGAAAATAAACGCCACAATCCAATTGCAAATTGGATCCACCCACCCAAGGCGACTTGGCAAGGCGCAAACCTAATATTTGAGACAATTGCTCATAATACATGTTAAATTTTATGTAAATACCTGCTTGTTTACATATTATAGAGATCCAAAAAAACCTTCCATTTCTTCCTGGATAAAAATCACAACTCCATATTTATTGAAAATGACAATGAGTATTAAAGAATACAATAAATGGGGAGATCAAAAAACCTTATACAAATATTCGATTACATAAACAAGTAAAGTTGTATAATGATCTCCCCTGTTACATGTCAAAATAATGTACGAAATAACAGAAAAAATTGTAAAACATATATACTTTACAAGCAAAAAGTTGGCGTTCAAAAATAAAAACAGAAGCCCACAAAAGGAAACCACGTTTGCAAAAACGCCAACCAAAGTGGACTAGCCATCTAAGGGTAGACCACACAAAATGCACTTAGGGTTTTGGTATGCAGACAAATATCAACACTATTTTGACACATAGTTTTTGTAAATCTTAACATACAAGAAAAAAAAAATGTAAACAGTTAAACAATTCACTCTGTTTGTAAAAAAGGATAATTAATCCAGATGTAAATTTTTGGAGACTAGCTTTCACAACATTGCATTTTGACCCATACATTACATTATTCATAATAGCAAAACATGAGAACCAGCAGGCACAGCTGGAAAATTTGGGACTAGATTAATACATGGCACTACACATATCTGTGAATAACAAGGCAAAAAAAAAAAACATTTTCCAAATATAAACATCACTATGTATTTACATGAAAACCTGTTTGCACAGCAGTTCACTACTGACCTGTATATAGTTTAAGACACCCAGCAGTTTACTTCTGACTTGTGTATAGTTTTAGTTACGTAGCAGTTTACTTCTGACCTGTGTATAGTTTCAGTTGCACCATATTTACTTCTGACCTGTGCACCTGTAATAAATGGTTTTTTCAATGCCCTAGCAGTTAACTTCTGACCTGGTGGATTGAAAAAACACCCCGTTTAAAGTTCTTGCATATTAGTAGTTAACCTGTACTTACTTCTTATTCCAAGAAAGATAGTTCTGCATTTTGATAAAGTTTCTATATTTTAAAGCTTTCGAGGCGTACATACTTACGAATGGCATCTGAGTTCCATCGGCCCATTTTTTGATATTGTTTCCGAAAAACCTAACTTTGCAGCATGTGTAGCTGCTCCTATCCTGAAACTATGGCCTTTGTACAGAGCAGGATTGAGACCAATGAATTGAATTGTATTTTGAAGATGTTTTGCTACAAAAGAATATGGGACTGGTTTCCCCAATGAACTGGTAAAGAGGCCCGGTGTGATGACCAAACATATTCACATATTCATACAAGGCATTCACGGGGCACATGATGTTGTTGTCTTTTAAGGCCTTCAAGTGGATCTGGAAGAGGTCCTTTGTTTTATTTGTTTTAAAGTGTTTTAAGACAATTATAACTTCGATGGGTGAGTTCTCATTTAGGGTAAATGAAATATCTTCTCGTTGGATGACTGTGCTAGCTAGACTTTTTGCCTTAACTACTACTTCCCCTAGCCGTAAAAATGCATTGAAAGCAAGAAGAAAAATTGACTTTAAAAGAATTCTTTGATGTTGATTCGAAACGGAGCACTGAAGCCCTTGAATTAACTTGTGTAAAATGGGACCTGTGATTGGTAAACGTGAATCTTTACACGGGGCTGAATGGTGACAGCCTTGCATGACCTTTTTTACCAGAAATGTATCCGATGGGTCTGTTGTCCCTAACAATTTATGTACATAACTAATTGCTGATACATGTGTTGCAATGCTATTTGGAGAATATCCGTTGTCAAATAGGTAAGAAATAAAGTTACATAATGTAGATGGTGAGACAGGCAAGGATTTGATGGAGGGAAATGTGCTCACTAGCATGTCCCATGATCTTTTGTATGCTGCGCTTGAACTCTTTGTAAGAGCTTTTGACAGAAGATTGCAAGCTGATGAGTTCAAATGTTCAAACTGGCTTGAGGGATTTGTGTCGGCTGGCGGGTTAAGTGAGGTGCAGACTGGAAAGCTGCCTGAAATTGAAAACGGGAGAGGCGATCAGCAGTGATATTATGCTTTCCCGGAATGTGTTTTGCTCGGAAATGAATGTTGTTTTCTAAGGTTGCTAAAACTAAGCGGCGCACTAATCTCATAATTGTTTTGTCTTTTGATGTTTGTTTGTTAATGATTTGTACTACTGCCATATTGTCAGACATGAATAGGATTCTTTTATTTTTGATTTTGTTCCCCCATATTTCTATAGCTAGTACAATGGGAAATAACTCTTTGACTGCTATTTGACAATCATTTTGTAAAAAGTCCCAGTGAGATGCAAACCACTCATTACCTAAAATCGCCGCAAAGCCCAATGACCCTGATGCATCTGTGTAAAGGGTAAGGTGATCTGTGGACAACCACTTTTGAGGAAGAAAAACTGACTTCCCGTTAAAGCAGCTTATGAAAGACAGCCATGTTTCCATATCTGCTTTTGTTTCCCTAGTTAAGTGAATGTGTGATGCAGGTTCAGTTACTCCACAAGTTAGATCAATCATGCGTCGGAGAAAAGCACGCCCTGGAACCACTACTGAGCACGCGAAATTGAGTAAACCAATCAGAGATTGAAGTTCGCGTAATGTAGTTTGATCTTTTTGTAAAATTTCTACCAAATGCATTTTAATCTTGTTAATTTTGTCCGCTGGTAGCCGTGCTTCCATTTTGTCTGAGTCAATTTCAATACCATAGATTATAATTCTTGTAGTTGGAGTCTGTGTCTTTGACATTTTGATAGGGACACCAATATTTTTGCACAGAAAGAGGAAATTTGTTAAGTCATTCTTACAGCTTTCAGAGTTCGCAGGTCCAATAAAGAAGAAGTCATCCAGAATATGTGACATTCCCCCAGCCCCGAATTTTGACTGTAGTATCCACTGTAGAGCTACACTGAATTTTTCAAATATCTGGCAAGAACTACTTGCCCCCATTTGGGAGACATTTGTCAAAGTAATATTTTCCTTGCCAAGAAAACCCTAGTAAATGATAATCTTCTTAGGGCAAATTGGAATGATTGGAATGCATTAAAATGATATTGCCATCAGGCACCGAAGGCCACGAGTTTGCACTAAATTTATAATCCAATCAATTGAGTCATAATGAACTTCTGAATTTTCTTTTGGAATATGGGTGTTAACAGAATTTGTTTTTGGATAGGAAAGATCATGAATAATACGAAATTTTCCTGGTTCTGATTTTGGTATGACACCTAAAGGGGATGACACAAATGGGTCGAAAGGAGGGTTTGGGAAAGGTCCTGCTATACGATGGAGCTCAAGGCCCTTTTGTATGTGATCTTGTATGATTTCTGGGTGATTTTGAGCTGATTTATGGTTTTTTGACAAAGACGCTGTAGGAGTGTTTTCACATCCCAGGGAAAATCCGAAACTGAAACCTTTTACCAAATAATCTCTCAATTGGTCATCATAACCCCTTAAATGGTCATTTAGTTTGTTTGCCTTTACTGGGGTTGGGAGAGGTCCTATCATGTTCAGATTTTTCTGTAGATTTACATTTAATTTTGGGGTGATTACCTCTACAGGCTTGGCAAATGTGGGTGAATGGACAGGGGGTTGACTTACATTTGTTACCTTGGTTATAGGCGAAGCAGAATCTGACCCCACCGATTCTCCCCACCTGTTTCCCACGAAAAGGCTGCCCATTAGATTGTTTTGTGGAAACAGCTAATGATTTACCACGTAGTTCCTCCACTGGCTTTTGCCATGGAAGGTCTACTGTCTCCCTTAACTTCCTGAAAGACTCATCGTATGATCGCCACGCTGAATCCCCATGAAGTTTTTGTAGCTCCCTTATGAATGACATGTACTTAAGCAGGTGGGGAGCCTCAGTGGGTTTCTGTTGTATAACGATACACGTAAAAACCAGAAACGCATCTGTCCATTGGTTGATGGACAGAGGTGTTTTAGACTTTTGACTATGTTGCAAATTTATTACCCCTGGTGTGATCAGTAAGGTCACTGGGTCTTCCTCTTGGTGCGTCAAGAGACTACGCAAATCTATAAATTCATTTGACCATATTTTTGACTTAATTTTGTTATACGGTTACCGAGGAATGCCATCATGATTGATATGTAATTACTTGTGTTTTTATTGGTGCTGTGCCTGCTGGCTACCTTCAATATCCTAGATACAGTTGTGACTGTGCTGTTGTGTCAGCTTGTACCTGAGGTAGCATCTTTTCTATG